TGTTCCGTCCTGTTGGACTTCAATTATAATATTGTCACCCTACTTGTCTGCCAACTGCTATTGTGCTGTCTGCCTGGCTGTTTGTTTATAAAAAACAAAAAAAAGTTAAAACATATAAATACACAATTCCTTTTTACCTAAACGACAGAATAGGGCATATACCAATGACTCCCAAAACATTTATGATTGTTTCATTTATTTTTGTAAAACGGTCATTGAATGGCAGTTTTAAACACGGGAATGAAATGACAGCTAAGCATATGAACTTTCTATTTAAAGTTGTTATATGCCACTAAGTGGTTATGTTTAGGCAACACATCCATTTCGTAGGGATTGATCATTTGAGTGAAAATTAGTACGTGAGGTAGTTAGGGTTTGGGATACAGGGGTTAGAGTTCCTGCATTTTTCTTCGATGTGGAATGCCACTTTGTTTTGTACTTACTTAGTAACGTCGTTATGTCTGGAAATCAAACTAATTCAACGTGTTGTTGACGATTGGTTTCACGAATCGAACTAGCCCAGTGTGTTCCCTCATTGGAGTCATTTTTCGGTGAACACATACGTATACTGTAGGTTTTTACAGTCACAGTTGCCCCCCCCCTCTACACTGTGTTTTATCCGTCCCTTCTTTCAAGTTTCTTCACATTTTTTGTAAAATGCACGCTGACACCTAATCACCTAATCAGACATGACTATGTGAAGTAGCAACCCAGTCTCACGGCATTTCGTGTTCACCAACAAGATTTTCCCCTTTTTCGTGTTGCACAGCACAATTTTAAAAGCAATAAAATGAGCCCCATTTATTTTCGTCACAGACAGCAACAAAAGTCCGAAATGATACGATTTTAAATAAAAGCAATAATCGTGGCTTGATATTGAGTAAGAACATGTTTTTATGAACCACACAGCTTCCGGTCTTCCTATAACACGTAATGCCGTGAGACTACCAATAGAAATACATTGCTTTCAAAATCGTGCTGTGCAACACGAAAAAAAGGGGGAAATCGTGTTGGTGAACACAAATCAATAGATTAAAAATCGTGTTGGTGAACACGAAATGCCATGAGACTGGATTGCAACTTCACCGTCGGTAAGGCTTTTCATTATCAGATTAAGCCAACTCTTAGCCAAGTATTAGGGTAACACTTCAATCGGCAAAAAACAATCCATGAGAAATATTTTGAGTTACCAAGCAACAGTAATGACACTAATTGCTTCAGTAATTCTGCAGGAACATATGCCTTGGCAGCAGGTATTGATTTAAGCTTATAATGTAATTATAAAAAAGATGCATGGGTTATTTGGTTGAAAGGTGCAATAACCTTTATCGTATTTTCTAAAGTCAGACCATGCATCGTCTTTGGCTTGGAGACTAGACATTTCTAATGAGGTTTGGCTAGGCTACGTATGTTCTGTTTAGTTGTTTTTTTGTTTGTCAGCAGGATTCTTGAAAAACTACAGGCTCGATTTTCACGAATATTGGTGGAAGGGTTTAGTTTGAGCCAAGAAGAAACCATTAACAAGTTGGACCATATCTCTATGAGGGGATGGATAGACAAATTGTTTTTAATTACCATTAACATTGCGAGAAAGGGCATGTTATTTGCAAGGTCTGCTAAATATTCCCTCAACGTATTACAATGACGTAGCACTGTCATGCACAGTCAAATCTGGCAGTAAGCTGGCCCATGACTGTGAGGAAACTCTTCAAAAATACAGCTGTGAAAATATGAAGGGAACCTAAATCAGTTTTTTTAAATCTGATTAAGCCAAGGCAATTTCCAAAGGTAAAGAATAATCTGTACCATGACTCCAAGCTGCTTCGCAATTGAATGGCTTCTTCTTTCGCCTATGCTTAACTTTTCCTTTTCCATGAAAATTGGGCAGGTATAGCCTACTGCTCACAAATAGAGAAACAAACCTACAACCAATCTGTGAACAGGACATAACCTTTTTACTGGAGTTAAAATGGTTGCAATACTCAATAAAATACAGTTCTCTAAATGTTTCAATGTTTCTCTTCTTATCAAATTACCCAGGATGGGAATATATGGAAAACTTGGCTACTGATTCCTGAAACTTGTCTGTTGGTCATGTCACCCTGACCCTACAGGTCAAAGCGGTCTTCCAAGAGCCTCTCAATAAAATACGCCATTTTGTTGACTCGCAGGAAATTCAGAATGCAGCCTTTTAGGAGATTTCTATACTAGAGTTTTAAAACGTAGGATTTCTAGGTCTTTGACATTGATTTTGACATTTTCTTTTATGTTTCTCCAGAGTAGATGGAGAAAACAAGAAATATCTTTATTTATCAGTATAAACCGATATTTATTTTCCCTATACAAACCAGATACTGTAGGAAATAAATACGAGAAACATTTATGTTTTTTACTTCAGAAGAAACTCTAAACCTGAACACAGATGTTAGGCTTGTCTATTAACAGACTAAAGGACCTGCAACATTGGAAATCAATCAAAGGACGACTTGGACTTTTGTTCTGTCTCTCCTTCCTTTCTTTTTCCTTATTTGGTCAAAGCACAACAATTTATTTAATTGACAGTAACAATCAAACTGAAAATGGGAAAGGAATGGAGGTGCTGACCTAGACCACCAGCTGCAATGACCCTTCCTCCCAGGCATCCTGCCACAAAGTCCGCCCTCTTCTCCCTCATCCTGGATGTTCGGGTGGGTTTGATCCAGATACCTGCCAAAGGTGAGAGGACATATTGTCATTCTTGTTGCAACAGGAAATTAAATTCATCATTGGCTAAGCATTTAAAGGAACACACAAACGAGAAATCAATGCACCAATATTTAACTGTTAAACATTTAATCTCAAATATATGGGCATTTATTGGTTGGGTTCAGGCTTTTTCTCCAGATGCTTGAGCAAAAATGTGATCTCGTTCAATTCTCTGTTTGTCATAAGGTCGTGCTCTCAGTCTGTGCTACAGTTAATCCCATTTGGCCTATTTATTAGAGATTATTGGTTTTTCAAAAAACGGAGCCTATCAAACAAAACAATATAAGTGATTCTAAAATCTTCTCAACTTGATATGCTATATTCATGAGCATATGAAAAAAGTAAGAAAGATACTTGAAAAATGTCCTCTAGTAGAATGTGTTCTCAAAGTTTGAAGCATAACAGTGTAGAAGCTATTACTGAAGCATCAAGCCCTCCATTCATTGGAACCAATGGGCACAAACCATTGAAAAAAAAAAAAATAGTCCAAGGCTAGGGTTATTCACAGTGTTCAGAAATGTGATGGTTAACACAAGCAAGCTTAAAGTCCCATCCTATTTTTTTATATTTTTTTAGTTAAGTAGTTCACATTCATATATTCCAAGTATTTTTAAATGACCCATTCTTTTTTAAGAAGGAACCATTTTCTGTTAACTGGACGCCCCAAGACAAAACCAGACTGACTCATTAAGTGAAGAAATTGTTCAGTTAGTTGATACACGTTTGGTTTACTTTTTGAGACTTAGATGAGAAGCTCAATACCACTCATGTCTGTGAAAGGGTATCGATCTTCTCACTTCTCACACGCTCTATGAAAAAAGTGTGCTTCCCAAAATTCATTAGTTATGTGATTTGCTAGATTTGCTAGAAGTTTCAGCAGATTTGACTCCAAAACTGCAATCCTTGCTTTGCCTGTAGTAGCCCTTGTTCTTAGAAATCACCTAAAACATCAACATTTAAGAATAACAAAGGATTTCACTGCTAGACAAAGGGAGAGAGCACAGAAATTGAAAGGAAATGGAGAAGGAGAGGAACAAATTAAAGTGTGCAGTGTAGATGGATCTGTATTTGACAGCATAACAAGCTCTGCCTCAGGGTCCCCTCACTCCCCACCTCACCCCCCCTCGTTCCATAGATTGAAACACACTACCTAACATTAGGTTCAATTTCTATATTTTGGAAAGTGATAAATTCAACTTTCCAACGTGTTTTCTTCTCTTCTCTGCAAAACTCCTTGGCAAGGAAAAGGAAATTCAGGAAAGTGAAACAAAATACACCGTAGCATAACCATTACAAAACTGCAACCTAGGCATAATGCTAATTCATGCAAAACGCTGCAAATGAGCTGCAAAGAACCCACCAGTGTTCATTCTGGTAGTTTTTTTCCCGCAATGCTGCAGCGTACCAGCTTAAAATTGGGTTTTTTCACTTGTGTCTGAAAAGTATGGATTTTTGTAAAAAGAGATGGCATTTCCCCCACCATCCAAAGTGGAATTGATTCCCGAAAAACACTGAGTATAGTTGAAATGACTATTTGGACTATTTGAGCTTAATGCTAACTATCTTACTTTATGGTGTAAGCATGCTAACATTAGATGATGATGATGATGATGATCAACTTTATTGTCATTACATAGTACAGGTAGTAATAATGGTTTCTCTGCATTTGAACCTACCTAGTGTTAGGAGCAGTGTGCTGCCATTATGTACGGCGCGCAGCCGTTTAGGGAACGGTGCCTTGCTCAGGGACACCTCGGTAGCACTTGGTCTTTCCGGGACTTGAACCGGTCCCAAGTCCCTGTGGACTTCGCCACCAGCAACAATGCAACAGTAAAATAGTGACATCCGTTCCCTAGGGGTTCTTCAGTAAATGTAAAAGTTGTTAAAAGTAGCTGCAGTTTAAAATGACTTTTGTTTTTCAGTCTTCTGAGCGGCCGCATCTCGACTCTGAAGGATGAAACTGGAGCTGTGAGTAACGCTGTACTTATTAATGAATGAATGTGTTATGAGATATGCTTTCTTGTTTTCGTTATTATACATTTACCATTTAGTAGGGCTGCTCAATTAATCATATTTTAATCGATTATGGCTTGCAACGATTACGAAAACAACGTAATCGAAATATAACTAATATTTTTGTATTATTATTGTTTGTATACATTTTTTTTTGTATGGGTTTTTCAGTTGAGTTATATTTAAAGTTCAGGGTAATCAACTGTTAAAAACATACTGTTCACACTTATTTATCCAATAAATGGATGTTTTCAAAGTAAATGGATAATCGTTTTTAATAATCGTGATATCAATTATTGACCAAAATAATCGAGATTATGATTTTTGCCAAAATAATCGAGATTATGATTTTTGCCATAATCGAGCAGCCCTACCATTTAGTTTAGTTTAGTATAATAATAATACATGGGATTTTTATGGCGCGTTTCCTAATGCTCAAAGATGCTTAGTATAATTTAAGTTAACAGTTTTATGCTTTGATTTTGAAGGCAGTTTTGCGCACTGGGGGATACTGTATGTATATTTAGGAGACGGGCAGTGGTGGGATTAGCGCACCAGTTCAGGCTAATGGTGTGTTACCACGGTGAAAGAAGGAAAGCAGCAGGAAGTAATGTAAAAGCTGTGTCGTCTTTTTATTGGAATGAAATGCACAAAAAGGATATTCTTGGTCTTTCCTTTCGTTTTTGAGTTAATTTTCAGTTTTATTTCCTGTAAAATGTGTGATATTTATCTCAACATCTCCCTCCAGATCTTCATCGACAGAGACCCCTCTCTGTTCGCCACCATCCTCAACTTCCTGCGCACCAAAGAGCTGTACCCGCGCTCCATCAACGTGCACATGCTCATGCACGAGGCCGAGTTTTACGGCATCACGCCGCTGGGTGAGAGTCGAGACGTTGGAAATACAACGTGAATAAATGTGTCACACAGCTCACAATCCATATAATAAGTGAAACAGAAATAAAACCGTAAAATCTATTGAGTTGATTTATTTAAAACAAGGGACAGTGTACATTAATCAACATATTAAAAACATGTAAAAGTACTCAAATTAGCCAAAAGGCTGGTTTTCATCGATAGTCCGTTTGCCAGATGGTGATTGACTTCCTAAAAGCAATAATAAAAATACCACAACATTGTTATCCCAGTGTACATATTTACAATAGATGACATCACTGAATACAGATAAGAGCAAGTCATGATAATAAATAAATAAAACATTTACAATACACACTCACACGTACACACACACATCAGTGCTGACACTGTTGGTTTTCAATGAGCCACTTTTTAATGCTGTGCTTGAATGTGTAGTAGGGTGAGGAAAGAAATCTAGGGGTAAAAGGTGAATTAAATGCAAATACAGATAAAGACTTGCGGATTTAACCAGAAAGTAGTCGTGTGTGTTCTGTTGGTGGGATGATTTTAAGATAAGATCAAATAAAATGTACTTTATGAATCCCAATTTGGGAATTGTTGTTGTTTCAGCAGCATAAAACAAACAAGGCATTGAACAGAATGACACATTAAAGGAATATAAATAAATTGAAATAGAAATAAACCAGCATTAGAGAGTAAGAAAAGTACACAGCTGACTTGAAGATAACACATCTATAAACAGTCTGACAAATAAAAACGCTATTGAAGAATTTTATGAATTTTGGGTCATTCTTATAATTTTGGAGGGCTCAAAGCTGCCATGTTTCATCCTAATAGTGTCAGAAATGGATTCAACATCCTCATAACCCCCAAAACTCACTCCAAAATTGTTGCATTTTCTATGTGCTGGGGACCCGTACCATACATTTGTAACTGTGGGTAATCAACATTTCCAGGTTCACACGGCTGGCAACTAGATGTTCCTCTGTTCCTCTGTGTTCTCTGATGAAGTATCTCTTTGTGTTGAAGTGCGTAAGCTGCAGCTGTGTGACGAGCTGGACAGATCCTCCTGTGGAAACGTGCTGTTCAACGGCTACCTGCCTCCCCCAGGTACACCACCGTAACTCACATTTCATCTGTAGTGTGACGTGTAATGTTCCTGCTGCTGCTGCACCTGGTCTGAAGAGGAACTGAGAACACACCTTTGGTTTCCGTATGAATAGCTCTTGACATCGCCAAAGAAAATCACTGTTGGGATAAGATAACATTTAATAAAATAGAATAAAAGTGAAAATAAAAATAAAATAATTAACTAAACAATAATAATAAAAAATAAAATGTATACACACATGGAGAACTTAAAGTAAAAAGTGGACAGTGTACTAAAATGTGTATATTACAATATGAGTGTAATAATAACAATGCTGGAAATAATTAACTATCCCCTACTTTGTCCTCACTTCCTGTCTGTGCCCTCACTTCCTGTCTGTGCCCTCACTTCCTGTCTGCCTCAGTGTACCCAGCGAAGCGGCGTAACCGTCACAGCGTGGCCGGCTCTCAGTTCATGGCGGGCCGAGCGCCGCCGGCAGAGCGAGCGCCGGTGAGACGAAGCAACACCATGCCTCCAAACCTGGGGAACTCTGGCATCCTGGGGAGGGTCAGCACCGAGGAGAGGACCCCCGGAGGTACCAGAACACACCAGAACACACCATACTATACCATAATATAATATACTATACTGTACCGTACCATACTATACCATCCTGGGGAGGGCTAGCACCGAGGAGAGGATGCCTGGAGGTACCAGAACACACCTCACCATAACATACCATAACATACCATAATATACCATCCAAATACCATAACATACCGTAACATACTACACCGTACCTTACCATACCATATCATACCATACTGCACCATAATATACCGTACAATAAGCTGCCATGCCTTAACATACCATACTATACCTTACCATA